TGTGATGATCTTGGCATTGAGCAAACCAATCTGTATTAACTAAGAGCAAATTACTAGATAAATACCCACAGACGTGTTCGGTGTCTCCAATAAATTGTTATGTCATTAATATAATTCTACACGACAACAAATAAACAATTAATCAGCAATCAGAAATAAAAACACTATCTCCGTATTACCTTAAAACTTCTCACCAAAACATTTCCCCCCGTTTTTACTCTCAGGGTGGAACAGTGAAAATTCAATCCCGCCAGCAGTTTTAATTTACCTGTGGAAACCGGTCAAGACTTGTTTCTATTCTAAGCCATGACAGCCATTTTGTGCAGCAAAGCAAAATGTGCCAGTGACATGCACAACAAGTTCCGAGAAATTTCGTCGAAATCTCACCAGCAGTTTGTCATGTAACATTAATATCTAGCGTATTTCATTTACTACTTTTACTTATAGATTGTTATTTAACGCAACGTGTTACTGCTATCAATAACATGTTATTTTAAAGAATTCAGCAAAAATGAATGAGAAATAAGATCAAGAATGCATGGCGACGTTCACAGAACGAAGCCCCTGACACCAATCACTTTCCGGGCCTTTCCGTCAGTCTTCGGATGAGGACCTCGAACACAATTGTAAGAGTACACAGAACGATTTTGGTCTAATTTATGCTAAGAAACTGAACATGTAAAAATTGTGATTTAGTGCTTGGAGTTGTTGATTATGTTAACTCCTATATATCTAATGAAAAACAGAATCCCTAAAAAAATCCATCAAAATGTTGCAGGCTCGGTGAGCCTATTCATGGATGGTACTGGAAAGAGCAAGTAACCGTTTACGCCCTCTCCCCGTAGCACTGGCTAAAGCTGAATTCCACATCAACAACAAAAGGTGAAATGTATGTTTTGAACTTTCTTTAGGGATTCTTATTTTCTCTAATTAGTAATGTTTTCCTTTATTCAAACAAAGTATATGTGTAATATATATTCAAGACTGACATGCATTGATTACCAACTCGTCAAAGCTTAGGTACTAGAACATGTTTGTTTTGATCTTTACTAGATTTATTGTCAATAACAAATGTAACTTCCCCCTGTGACTGAGGGGTTGTCTTAAAAGAGTTGAGACATAAGAATTGCAGCCACCATTTATCCCTGTGTGATCGTAAGAGGTTACAAAATGGAGTCGATACATCTATTACCTTTAGCAGGTGAGGTAGTGTTAACCCCTGGTGTTGCTTTATTTTTGTAACATCGGTTGTAAGCCACACTTATCTTTCCAGTTTTGGCGCTACATGAACATATATTTTTGTGCCGTAACATCAGACAAACCAAATGTAAGAATACAGTAAAGTAAATTAAGCGCAAAACCTGGCAACTGACAGAACATCGCATATGTAAATTGTGTAATTTGAATGTAACTTATGCAGAGTATCATTTTCTTTTGTGCAGTTCTATGTATAGGGATATACGTAATAAGTATCTTTGAAACATTACTTGGCCCAACTTGCAGAAAGTCAATTATTTAATGTCACTGAGAAAGGATTATTGTTCAGAATTACTAAATTTGTAGACAAAATATAACCTTGAAGCAATGTTTGCTTCTTAAATTATTACAATGTTAATTGTATGTATTGAACTGTTTTGTTTTGTATTATGATCTTTGTGTAATGTAGTATACGCTAAGTTCCTATGTTACCATGCTATATTTAACAAATAAACGAATGACAAATAAATTTATTCAGCTTTAAATTTAATTCTTCATAGTTCGCCATTATACTATGACATTACTATCTTGTAAATACTAATCGTGTCAAAGGCCTTGCATTGAGCAAATCAATCGTTATCAATTAAGCATACATTACTATACAAATGCATTATTTGACACACCTTAACGACGTTTCCAATCAATTTATGTGTCATATATATTATAATTTCACACAACAATCAATCAACAATCAATTAGCAAGCACTAAGTCCCATTTATCTTAAAAACTTAAATATTTATACCTGTCGGGAAAGTATAAATTGATAATATAACATGACCTTCAGTACCCTTAAGTGACAGAAAACTGGCAATCATATTTTTAATTATTTCTTTGATTCACGCTCAGTGATTCACTATAATTTCTGATTTTGAAAACTAATTATTGCAATGCAAAAAGAGTATACTGTTCGTAAGAGAAATCTGGATTTAGAAGGTAATATAAAAATACTGTTGTCGGAGATTAAACTTTGTTGGAAACCTACTAAAATATCAAAATTTTATTAACTTCAGTATAGTTGCCAAGAACTAAAATATCAAAGTCTGAATAACAAATGTCAGATAACACGATAAAGCATTACAATTACAGTCTTTATACAACTAGATGGTTCAAACGTATGTTATTGGTTTATAGCCTGGCGCCTGATTCATGCAAAAGTCACAATCTTGGACTTTGGTGTGATTGCCAGAACATAGTAATATTCAAAACAAATAAGTATAAAAATGACAATGCTAGGAAATATTCTTTTAAGATATCTACAATAAATTATCCTAAATTCTTTTTACTAAATATGTCAATCTTTCAATCGGCACAAAACCATACATTATTTAAGCGCGCAGGGTAAACAACAGATCTACCTACTATAAATTGCTTTATCGCTACTTCCGAGCTAGTGCATGTCTCCAACAATATAGTTAGGTTTATAGTTGTCTTACAACATTTTTTTGTAATTAAGGAATGCTAATATAAACCATGTAGATTTAATCAAAGTTTCAAGGGAACGTAAAGTTGATTAATTTAATTTTGCACTGTAGTTTTTGCAGCGTTACTAAGCTAAATTCGCAAAATGGGTAACGCTGAACAACAACAATGCAAACAAGAATTCATCAACATTATTTCTTTGAGTTTTTAATCAAAGTTACAGGATAGAGTATTCTTCCATTTTTGATATTCGATGCAGTATTTACAAAACACATGCAATAAGACAACATAATACCTTGGTTGACACTAAATTACGCTTGTATTGTTAATGTTATCTGACGTTAGTGATAAAGTACTTTCATAATATGTTTTGGAATAACTACTGGTTTAAACTTTGGGTAAGGCAATTAATTCAGGTATAACGCCGTCTTTCCCCCGGTTCTCGTAAATATAGTATAAATGTCATCATTTTGTTACTTGTGTTTTTCTATTAAAATTTATTCAAATGTTTTAATAACCCTCGATAGAAATGAAAAAGAAAGTTCAAAAGTTGAAATTGCAAACCTTTAGCATCGCTTTATGCTGATTTAAATTTTCAGTGTAATATGCTATTGAAAATAATGATCACGAAGGACGAGAAAAATATAACAATTCCGAAGTGAAATACGGGACAACATTTTACGGCTGTCATACAGGACACGACACCGGTTGTTTTGACTATAAACATCTGGAAAAGGAGATATTCTCTGAGTGCAATTCTATATAGAAAGTATTTAAGTGTAAAGCTTTTACGGTATGTAAATAGAGAAAAAAAGAATCCCAAGTGAACGTCCAAAACGGCAGAATAAAAAATGTTGAGGATTCGGTTAACCTCGATTGGACTTACTTTTGCCACCCACAGATTTAGCTTAGGTCAATGTCACTTTTACTAAAATCGTATTCTGGAGGAAAAGAGTATAATTAATGGATATATTTCAGTCTTATTGTGATGCAATGAATTGCCCGGGAAATGAATAAATCAAACAGAGAGAGAGAGCGTTCTGTGTTACACAATATTTCCTCGGCTATTTTGTGTAATATTTTATTGAATGGAGTGTCGTGTAGTTTTAATTTAGACCTATGTTCAGAATATTCTAAATGCCATGAAAGGTGTATGCTGCTAAAGGCTGATGACACGATATGCATTTTACAAAACCAGAATCTGAGTGGCAAGTCTTTGTGTGCATTATTCTTGACTAATGTTTACTGTTCCTACCAACCAATTTTGTCGAAGAACCGTATGTGCTCTTATAAAACATGAATAAAATATCATGTTTATAATCCAATTTGTCCGTTCATATTTACTTTAAGATGCCTGATTCTACAGAACTTTTTTTAACCTTCTTATATACTAATAATAGTCGTTTTAAAGACATAAGTAGTTTAATTAGATAATGAAAGTCTATTGATAGTAATGTGATGTAATATATTTTACTTTATTTGTTTACTGATAAAGTTTTATGAAGTAAAATATGTAAACTATGTACAGGACTTTAGGGCACACGCTTTTTATTACTTGGGGACCATACGCCGCTTTTCATGAAATGGCACTACTGTGTCACATTGAAGGTTCCATGATAACCGCCGTATGAACACATCTGCGGATGTTTCTAAATTCAAAATTTTACTATTTCATGTTTAAATGTTGAATTCTGCTTGGGGGCGTGGACGTTAACTTGCACTTTCCAGTACCGTCCATGAACAGGCTCAATCAAACCGAGCCTGCAACATTTTCAATTTTGCCGTGTTGGGCTTTCTTTAGGGATTCTGCATTTATCTATTTTAGTAAAAAATAATCTATGATTATAATATCCGGGCTCAAAGAAACGAAGTGTCAGTGGTCTTCTTAATTTTTGTTTGTTTTTAAAACACAAATAAACTTAGCTTTTCTCCTCTTGTAAGATAAGAACAAATACTGTAAATGTTTTATTAAGATTGATCTTAGTAGCAATATATATGTACTCATAGCAAGTTGGCATTCTTTTCCAACACTAAGTTTCAACCAAACACAAAAAGTTAATGGTTAGCCGTTAGCCTTTTTTAATTCGGCATTTGCAATTCGGATTTACACCAATGGGTTGTAAATTTAAATGAATGCACTGTTGTTTCGTCAATATAAACATAAAGTAATAAAAACAAAATAATATATTTAAGAAAGTATAATAAAATGCAAATATACTTTAAACATAGTAACAAATTCAGTGGGCCTGACACGACTTTAGCTGCATCATTGTCATTAATCATAAAACTTCATTAGAGGAAGTTGGGGTCAAACAAATATATCCTCAATAAAACTTGACATACTTTACTCTAAACAGATCAGACAGCCTATCATCTTATTTATAATATACTTAGTCAGTCTTAACATTATACGTGCACAACATTAATGTCAACAATAAATTATAAAATTTAAATAATAAGCCATCATTAATTAATAGTTCTTACATATGATAAATATCAAAATGCAGGGTTATATAAAATACTCTTAACATTCATTAATCTATCAATAGTAATAACTATGATTCATCACTGAGAACAAGATAAAAAGGCTGTATTTTTTTCTACTGCACTATATTCTGACAGTAACTTACACTGGAAACTACTTCCAATCTTTAAACTTTGTTCACACTATTTCGTTATCTCTCAGGTGTTAGTAAAAATATGAATACAAAATTGATTATTGTGAGCATATGTCTTTCATATCTTGTAGTTGTTATATCAGCTGATCCTGATGACATTGTAGAGGACACATACAGCAACCTGGGTGAGTCTTTCGTTTTCTTCTTTTTATTTTTAAATGATTCAAACTGTTTAAAATACCTGGCGTTTAGTAAGACTTTTTCGGTACATCAAATATTTTTGCCTTGCACTAGTCTCGGTTTTTGAACAGTTGAAAAGGCCGATATCGTTCTTAGTTAGCAGTTTATTGTAAGGTTAAACTGATATGACAGATCAATCAAACCTTTTTATTTAATTTCGTTCTGGCCGTTCTTTAGGGATTCCGCCTTTTCTATATCTAAGCAGTTTTGTTATGTACTTATTTACTTGTTAACAACCATGGAAGTAATAAAGGTACAGCCTATTTCTATATAAATAACTATCATTTCAAGGAAACAATTTGGATTTTAAAGACAGGTGTACATAATTGTTTTTAAGATTCATTTGAAGGTTTTAAACTATCTCTAGTGCAATACATCATAATAAACGATGCACATGTGAAAATCAAACATATGTCAGAACAAAAGTAATTAAATAGCTATTAAAATGTAAATTATGTAATGATGCATTCATTTATTGGAAAGAAAATCAATAATTATAATGTCGCACTGACAGTGCATGCAAGACGCTATATGTTTAAATTTAATGATCTATCAGTAAAAATAAGGGTAAGAAAACATCAAAATGGTTGAAAACATGAATTTACATTATTGTATCGGAAATTTAAAATCTAATTTATTATCTGTGTAATGACAATTTTGACCTTGATTATGTTTTCGCCGATTTAAAATACAATATACACGTAATATGGTACAGGCATTTTATTTCTATGGATCAATCTATTATTAAAATAAACTGTATATTTTAATTTCAACTTTTCTGTTACAGTTACTATAAAAATGATAAGGCTTTGTCGCCAACTGAAAGGTGGAATGAGGAGCTACTGTTTGATACAAGTGATGAATCGACTAGGATATGATGTAAACATGCCAACATTCAACGATATAGTGCCCTCATATTAACAGAAATATAATGAAGAAGAAAATATAAACTGCTTAATATGTACTCGGTGTTTTTTTACATTTAACTGCCTGTTTAATGTTTAAGTTTTTTCTTTTATTATGAAAATTAAACTTTAATTAAATGTTGCTTCTAAATATATAACATTTTTATTTGACACTTTTAGAATCAGTACGATTTAGACAAGACACTTTCTAGTTGTCATGTTTTCTGTTATTTTTGTTTTTAAAACAGAAAATGTTGTTAAATGATTTGCAAATCGGTATTTAAACGTACATGTTTGTTAAATATCTTATACATCGTTATATTGTGTTGTGTTATTTTTTCTACAAAATTTGAAAATTCATTTGAATTAGCTTCTCTACCGTTTAATTTCACATCTTTTGCTGCAGCAATTTTTTTTATCGACGATTCATTTAAATATGGAAATGTTTCACAATTTTTATATTCAAACGTTGAGTTAACGTTGAGTTAACTCGGTGGAAGGGTGTCAATAATTGGACTTAATCAAACCGTGCCTGCAGCATTGTGCCCATTACCGTTCATAGCATTTGTAAAAACTTTTTTTTTTCATTTGTACCCACACAAATGACCGCATCGCTAATGCTTTCAAGAGAAGAGCTGATCAGTTGTTTCAAAACCTTAATTTTATTGCTTTAACATTGTGTCGTCTAACGGAAAATCCCACCAGTCAAATGATAATACACAAATACAAATACAACACGTTTATTGGACAAACGAGAACAAAGACCATACTCCGCTTTTCATGGAATGGCACTCCTGTACTGTGTCACCTCGAAGGTTCCATGATAATCGCCGTATGAACACATCTGCGGATGTCACTAAATCCAAAAGTTTACCATTTTTCGTGTTTAAATGTTGAATTCTGCTTAAGTCGGTGCTAGGGGGGGGGGGCGTGGACGGTAACTTGCACTTTCCAGTACCGTCCATAAACAGGCACAATCAAACCGATCCTTCAACATTTTCAATTTTGTCGTGTTGGGCTTTCTTAAGGGATTCTGTATTTCTCTATTTTAAGCTCTATTTGTCATGCATTTGCGTTAAAGGAACTCCACTGTGGACCAAAAGCCTACAAAACAAAGAAATTGAATTTCTTAAATAGATCAGCTGGGACACTTCAAACAGAGATATATGCAAAAGATAATTATACTCAGAAATATACCCAGAAATGAATTGAAAATCATATTTTGTACTATTCTTAGCCTGATTTAGATATAAATAAAACGTAACGTTAAATTTTTGGTCATTTTCCACAATTACAATAATTATTCAGGAGAAACATAGTGAGCGAATGATCTGAAATTTTGTATACAAGTTATTGACCTACATCTGATGGAACATTAATCTCGAAATATTATTTCCAGCTCCCTCTTGTCAAATAACATCAGTTGAGTCCCTTTAACGATATTTGTCTCATGGAAACAACATCAGTTAATCCCATTAGTGATAGAATAATTATCATTAATATAATTATATTATACAATTATATCGATTAAGAAGAAAAGAATAAGGGCAATAAGTCATGTTGAACTTTTAACGAATTAAACAAAGTACGATTTTATGCAATGGGAAAAGGACTAATCAATCGCAATTCTTTTACCTAGAATTTAAAAAAAATAAGGAAATGAATATTTCATTGGCTTCTTTGCTGGAAGTATCGTACAATTCAAATGTCAATATTTTATATTAATTTTCAAAATGATCTGAATTAAATCATAAAAATTGTATGTTGCACACACCATGCCTTTTAAAAACAGTATTCACTAATACCAACGTTTACGCTACCCGTGGGTCACCTTTATTATTTTTACACATTGCGTTTTATTATGGTCAGGTGTATAAAATGGTGTAGGTGGTGATGATATCATCATGCTTTTTAAATTAGGAATACATACAAGAAAAGCATTCATGTTGTTGAATATTCAATATTTGAACAATGTCCTTTCTTTTATAAAAAATTAATATTTGTTGTTCAGTTCGTTATAAGCTCATTCACAGGTTTGGTAAACATAACGAAAAAAACAAACTCTTTTTCATGTTTACAGCTTACAGATATAAATGCATACATCTCTGTGATATATTGTCATTTTAATTGAATCAATATTTTCATATGTTCTTTGACTTTATAGCTACAAATATGACTAAATTGTTTGTGTTATATATCTATTACATGCGTGTTAAACGCTTATTAACATAACCACAGATCTCATTAATATGCACACTGATGCTGATATTAAGTGGTATTTGGCCTTCCCAAGTGTACAGTTACAAGTGTAAACAACTTTACATTTTATCATAATTAGTTTTCATTTGATAATCTACTTCGCATAAGCAATTACCCACGTGACCAATATAAATAACTTATGAATATATCGGTAACGTTCTATTAAATAAGGTGCGGGCAGTCCTTTTATATTTAAGGCAGTTTTTTTAAAATAATTTATTACATTTTTACATTTATAAGCAAAACGGATTACAAAAATTGTAATATTATCGTCTTGTCAACAACATTTATAAAAGTCCATCTATTGAAATTATAACTAATTCAACTCAACTTGAAAATAAAACATGTAAAATGTCATTTTTAACATGCCTGTTAGTGGTAATTAAATTACAATACAGCATAACGATACACCAAGCTTGCTATAAATCAACAACTGGTAATAAACGTCTTGTTAAACATTGCTTTGGCATATATAATGATTCAAACATTTATTTCTATTTTTTAATAATGATAAATCATAACATTTTTTTACGACAAACATGATAATTTACATCATTTAAAACGTGAGACATGTCGCTAATTTTGTACACATTATTGCTTCCTTTATGAGCATGTTAGTACTTTCTCGTATATATAAGAGGGAAGAAAACGGCACAATTTTTATCCATTTACTTCAATTTTAACATTTGCAACATTCATATCACCAAGAAAGATTATCATAGATGAAGATGAAGTTTTCCTGAGAATTTTATGAGATTGCCGGAACAAATTGCTTTGAAAATATAGAAAAAAGAAAGTCGATTTTAGATATTCGATATCAAATTTCATACAAGCAACACAATTGCTTGACTGAACCCACTGAAATATGTATTATAACATATGTAAGGAATTCCTGGACTCTATGAGTGAAATCACCGAAGAGAAGCAGGACACAGGCAGAATAAGAATACCACATTTAAACCATGATTCACGTATTATCTGTTATATGCATGCTTCATAATCTCTGATCCCCTTTCCATTTTATTTAGTTCCACCCATTGTTCAGGGCAAACGCATTTTTTTACTTGGGGACCATATGCCGCTTTTCATGGAATGGCACTTAACGTGTCACATTGAAGGTTCCATGATAACCGCCATAAGAACATATCTGCGGATGTTTCATAACTCCAAATATTAACAGTTCGTGTTGAATACTGATTAAGCCAGTGCTAGGGGGCGTAGACGGTAGTTTGCACTTGACAGTACCGTCAATGAACAGGGTCAATCAAACCGAGCCTGCAACATTTTCAATTTTGCCGTGTTCGGATTTCTTTGGGCATTCTAAATTTTTCTATTTTGCAAGATATATTGGAGCAAATTTAACGCAAAAGTGAAGCCGTTTAGGCAACATACGCTGACATTTTGTTATTAGAAATGACATACAATAAAATTACATTTAATTATAGGCATTTATAATATTGCAACAACCATCCCACATTACATAAAGGTTAAATACGTGGTTAATAAAGAACTATACGAATACAATGAATGTCATGAAAAAAACTTTTACATATTAATCATTTTCTACAGTGAACATAATGAACATAAAATTTAGTTACAAATTCAACTATAAAAACGGTTAATTTACAAATAAGAAACATTTAATATAAATCTTTTATCATTAATACGAGTTTTTTCAACAGATAGCTAATAATATGAATGAGCATATGTTAAACAGGCAAATAGGATGCTTGTATCAAATGTTAAACAAAGATAGATAGTATTTTAATTACTTATGATGATCGATCATTAACTTAGGTCACTACAAAATGTAAATATGCAACGGCTGCATAGTGATTAATATTTATTGTATAATCGAATGATTAATTATTCTTAATTGGCACATTTCCGTTTATTTATAAGATACTATTATTTAAAAAGTCATTTTTTTTTTTTTAAAATATCATCATAATTATATTTTTGTGACGCCAAATATAAACGAAATGTATTTGATTAATTGGATCTTCTCAACCAGATATAAGCGAGCAATCAGCGTGTACATATAAAGCTTAGGCGCAAAACTATAAATGGACATGAAAAATTGTCAAAAACTCATTTATCACATGTGGAATTAAACTTGGAACAGCATTAACAGCCTTACAGACCAATGAAATATGATAAACAAGATCGACAAGAAAAGGCGGCGTTCAATGAACGCAACCCCCATACGACCCAGCAACAAGAACCAGTGGCAAGGAGCCCAGGCGGACCCCAAACAAAATCAGGACAGGGCAATCCATACCTATATAAGGACAGTAATTATAGATGTCTGTCCAATCCCTACCTATAATTTTCTGCAAAATCATAATCAAATAAATCTAATATCACATGTAAGAAATATAAATATACAACTGATAATGTTAAAATTATATTAAATTAGGATAACAAAAAAATGCTGAATGTTTTATTTGATCAAACATGTTAATAGACGGCAGTGGAAATGCCCCCTGGCACCGGTTTTATCAAAATTCATCATTTAGATATGAAATGATGTGCGAATTAGAATCTAACACAAATCTGACACAATTTAGTACAATTTTATACATAAAGTGATTAACAGAATATAGCTCCTTTTAATCAAATTGGTACTAAACTGATTTTTAAAAAATTCACAAAGCGCTTGAAAATAAAAAAAAATGTTTAGACCTTATTAAGGATGAAACCTTCACGAATTTAGAATACTGTAGAAAGATAACATCACGACCACTTGCCTAAAGCACTTTATGTTTTCTTTTCTGGCATTGAAGAGAAATAAAAATCTCTTATTCATAGTAATAAATAAGGGCTGATATTGAAAAGCCTTCATGAAGTAATAAGTTATAGGCACACCTGTGCACACATTGTGTGGCAATTTATTGGCATCGCATTACAATTTAATTTTGCAATTTTGTTTTATTATAGAAATATTAAATTCCTGCCTTCAGCAAACTAAACAACAAAGTGCACGTTTTATAAACGTTGATATTGGTCCCCTTAATTAAATAGAAATGTAACTGTATATTGAGCCGCGTCACGACAAAACCAACATAGTGCGTTTGCGACCAGCATGGATCCAGACCAGCCTACGCATCCGCGCAGTCTGATCAGGATCCATGCTGTTCGCTATCAATTTCTCTACTTTTAATAGTGTTTGTAACCCATTATGTTGGTTTTGTCGTGACGCGGCTCATATAAGTCTTTTATTATGAATGTGTTGTGAGAAATAACATAACTTCATTGACTTACATAACTAACAAAGTTTGTGTGCCATAAACATTAACAGAAAAGGAATACCAAGAGGAATACCCTCACTTAATTAAAATACAATCACATGTATATGACAAGTTAGCCTGGGATTCAGGCGTAAATATATTTTGCTTATTCATAACATACGCGCTATACTCACGCCCTGTACACTTTTTTTGTAATAATGTTCATAAACAATTTATTTAAACAAAATTAAATCAGATTTTTCCAGATTACAATCAACGTTCGGTAACTGATATTGTGAAAAGTTTCAGCTTATTTCCTTACTCACAGAATCAGTGTTAATGGTAAAGTTGTTACAAAATAAGCCATTATAGTGCCAACGTTCGTTTGTTATATCAAACTGTTGTTAAGTATGGCGGTACCAGTATCATTTCTTCAGAGCATCATCCCAATAAATAACTCTAATTGTTTTATTGCCAATACTAGGACTGCATTTAATTCAATTGCTGATAGAAAAAAAACCTAATGCAATATAGGCAGGTGATATTGTAAATCAATTGACAGATCTTGATTTAAATTATCAAAATGACGTCATAGTTGCTGTCACAATCACAATTGTTTTAAATAATATGTATGTTTCAAAATACCCTTTTACAATCATAAATTCTATTGAGGTTTACCACTTCTCCATCGGTGTTCTTCTTGTAAAGTTTTATATATAAACACTTATTTGTTTACATTGGTGCTTGTCAAGCTGCTATACAAGGACAACACCAAAGACTACGGCTTTTTAAATAGCACTTGAAGTGTTAAAAATTGAATACCGCTTTAGACGGTGCTAAGGTGAGAGGGATGCTGCACTTTTTCATTATCCCACATGTACAGACTGAGTCAAATCGAGTCTGCAATTTTTCGTGTCATTTTGTGATTAATGCCTCCGAGGGATCACCATGTTTTCAGATTTTGACATTGCGATTAATATATTATTGATTTGTATGGCTCTTTCATATGAAATTAAATTATTCATTTTCAAGTTCAAATGTAAAAATACACGTATATCAATGAATGCACTACGTGATAATATTTTTGTAACACAATGAAACTGATCCAAGTGATGATTCATTTCGAAATTTTTATTTGGAATTCATTCTTACACGGTCTTCTTATGGACAATATTATAGATACTTGTAGAGCAACTCGTTAGCTATCTAGATTTATTCATCACATGAAAGAAATCAACATCAAAGCATAATTAAAAAACGCTTCTAAAAAGAGAAGTGATCAAATCAGTGCTTTTGGAAAAATAAAAAAGTAAAATGATAGACTAGAAGTCTTTAGTAAAAAAATCTATCTTCTCATTAAAATCAGTTTACTAATATCTCATGTAAAACACTGAACAACAAATTCAATGCATCTTGTTTTTGCAATTTTCATATTTGTTGATTATTGTAAACCTTTGTGAAAAAAAAAACTATTTTCCATTTTTCTTTTTAAACATTCACTAGATATTATATACATTGGAGCAACATATAATTTGTGTTTTTTTCTGGCGGTAGTGAAAGTACATGATATCATTTTTCCTTTGTGACATTTTTTAAGCATTGGTGACGTCATCAAACGTTGTTGACGTCATACAGCGCTGGTGACATCATTAAGCATTGGCAAGTAAGCAACTGTCCGTGTAGAATACTAGTATTATAAAAGAAACATCTCTTTCTAACACTAACATATAGATCTTTCATGTTTTTTTATCTGTTTCTAGTATGACGGTACAATATCGTTTAGTGTTGGCATGTTGACATCATATCCTAGCCGAGTCATCACTTGTATCAAACAGTAGTTCTTCATTTCACCTTTCAGTTGGCGACAAAGCCTTATCATTTGCAAAGTAACTGAAACATAATTAAATATAAATGTATAAAGTGCAAGTTAATGAATTTAATTCTTGATATTAAATGCTATAAATAATAGTAATTAATCGTAGTAATATATCTGGATACAAGATAAGCACTTTGGTTTTTTAACTACCATTTACTCAAGTATACTATTTTTTTTATAAATTTGTTTGCCTGCGTTGCTTACAATTTACTGCTCCACACCAGGTGTGAAATGTAATTTTATTTGCTATTCTGAAACTCTTATGACAGCTGTACAATGTATATTTATTCTTTTTCTTTCGTTCACTGCTCTCAAACAGTTTTTACAAATAATCAGTTCCCTGAGAGAGTTTTTATTTTCTACTGTCAAGTTCCTATATTGTTATAAGTTAAAATTTCTTTCTATGCACAACTTGTATCATTTTCCCGTACGATTTTACATGACGATATATCAGTGTCGAAAAGTGCTTGATAATGAAAAAAATATATTTTCATGCAAACGTTTTAACTTTAATAAAGTATGGTCTTCAAAGTCGATAGAAGACGCAATAGGCTTTCTATTGAAGAAGTTATAATAGATTTTGAGATAAATATGTTATAATCTCCAAAATATTGCATTGTGAAAAACTAAATAATGTTCCTGCGCAGATTGCCATTAAGATAATCTTAATTATTTAGCGTACTCAGATAAAATCAAAAATTATGTTGTCATTTTTTTCTTTTCCTGTCCAAACTTTAAAGCTTTATTGAAATAAAGCAATGTTGAACCTCAATTTTCACAAAACTTTTATTGTCATAAAGTGTGCATACATCACACCTGTAGGACATATACGTGAGAGTTCGTCACATATCGGCAATGTGACGTGTACGTTTGTTAATAGTCTGAAAACAGATGTTTGAGTCATTGTACAGACTATAGTTTAAGATGCACAAGCTAAAATATCGTTTCTATTTAGACACGGGCACTTCCAGGAAAAGGGTCATGCATTTAACCCACATACTTCACTTTTTAAGCTTTGCTTGATACTTTCTGTTTATATTTTGCATAATTTTTGTGCCATTAAATATCGACATACAAGTAACAATCAATTATGGACGGGCACCGTTCGACTTTGGATATACCGGACAACAAATGGTAGCCGTCTAAATTTGTTCCCTCGTTTTATATGCTTAAAAAAGGATATTAAACACTGGGCGACAAACGGACATGGCTTTTTATGACACATGTGCGATTTTCTTGTGCCTACGACCATTTGATTGCATTGTTTACACACCCATACCGATTGACATATATTCTTCTTATGTTTGCCTGTTACTTGTTTATGTTTCTGAAAGCATTCATCACTTGAGAAAAAATTTGAAACGGAAATTTTCCTTTAATCATTCGTTTGTATTACCTGTTATAACAGTATCATCATAACTAAAAGTAGTTTAATGATACGGACTCTTTATGTATGCATGTGACATTCACATGCAAAATGAATAGCTTAAAATAGTTTTACATGAGTGAAAGTGAAACATGCGTAACTATGCGCATATGTAATTTGTGTACACATGTACAGTCATATAAGTTTTTGTGAAAATTGAGGTTCAACAAAGCAATATCAAAAACGTCATATTAAAGCTAAATTTGCAAAATACAAAACTGACCAATATTTTTAGAATCGATGTAATAAAACAAAAGTTAACAATTTAAATAACAAAATAACTTACCCAAATTGTTATATGTATCTTGCGTGGCGTCGTTCGGATCGGCAGTTATGGTAACTATCAGGCTTAATAAGACTAAACTTGAGATAACCTGTCTCGTTTTCATGTTTGTTTTAGTTCACAGCTGAATTAAAAATATAAACAGATTTTTTCTGGCACGTTATTCCAGATGTAATGAAGTTTTGTCCGCAGAGACATCCTTTATATCTCGTTACGGTGATTACATCAATCAAAATATGATCAATGAATCTTCTTTTTTTCAATTTAAAGTTTTTATTTCAATATCAAAACCACAAATTCCGTCTAATTAATACATCATTGTTTACATTGCTTGCATTTAATTGTTTATTGTTGACATTTATGTTTTGCAGTGATTTAAGTTTAGATACCACTACTTTAACAGAAGCGATAGGTTGTTTAATCATTCAAAAACAAAGTGTGAACATTTTTAATGAATTTATTTTTTAGCATTTTTTTTTTGTTCAATCATCAACAATGATGCAGCTGTAATTTATTATGTATGTATTTATTATAACTTTTCAATTAATTTGCATAATATTTGAATAAGATCAAAACAAGTTTTTCTATTTTATTCTATTCTATCATATAATTATTGATTTTTAAAAAAGAGATTTTACATTGAATTTATTTGTTGGTTGTTTTTATACATAATTCTAATATGTAATCATTTCTTTTTAATGTAATTAAATTAACTCGACCTTGTGCATTATAATATGATATGCTATGCGATTTTGTACTATGCTGCACTGTGTGCTGCGCTGCGCCACGCTACATCATGCTACGCTACGCTATGCTATGCTAAGAATTCACCACATATTCAACTTCATAGTAGACATCTTATAACAATATTACACTGTAAATTTCATTTGAAATTTGAAAAGTATCAAATTATCTTATATATAAAGTGATAAAGGTCCACATATTTCCACGGCCCCAAAAGTGATTCAGAAACAAATTACAATTAGATTCGGTTGTGTTTCACACGTGTTTGTCCTATAAAAGTAAAAAAGTACAATGTATTCATTTTCGTAAAGATAGACGTACAAGGTCAGATTTTAGTTTCCATATAGGCAACAAGTAAAATGGTTTCCTGCGGGGAACATTTAAATGATATAAAGATATTTCATTTAACTATTTCTAACATTGTTTAGGGGGGGGGGGGGGTAAATAAATGTATAATTGGAGGTCTTTGGAAACTAGTGACCGTTGAAGACCAACAATTATTTCTTTTTAAGAAAATGATTAAATACCATTTTCTGAATAATTCCGAGCAAAAAAAAAAGTAAACACACAAGTTTACGCATAAAATATCTCTATTTAGTATTGCAGATGTCACTACGAATATTTTAATTTTGTAGATTTTCAGTATAAACATTTTATAGTTTGTAAAATTTGAGATAGATATTAAAGAAACATTGGTAATTTTCAAACACATCATTCAAGTTTTTCCGCCTTAAACGGTAAAATAATTATAGAAAATTAGAAATATCACGTAATAGTTTTTTGTTGTTAATGACTAATTCCATAGAGGTAAATCCGTAACGTACCGGCAAACGGTATTTAGCTAGGTTTTCGAAAGGTCAATAAACCAATCATGTACGGTTTACAGATCACATGCTCCTCCATGTACCGAAAACAGGTCACGTGCTCCTCCATGCCTCAAAAGTTAAACGCGTACCAATACCCTGCGGTCTTCGGACCGCAGGGAATAACACCTTGGAAACTGTTAATGAATACAAATACCTAGGGGTAATCTTTAGTGAAAATACAGATAATATCGCACACAGTCAAACACTGACTCAGGCTTCAGGCAGGGATTTAGGGGGAGTTATTAACAAAATACATTTTTAAATCCTTTGAAAAATTGTTCTACAATTGTGTGGTGTCAGTGCTAGATTATTATTCAAGTGTATGGGGATACAAAGAATATCAAACATTAGACAGTGTGCAAAATACAGCTGTAAGATACTTTTTAGGATAACATAGATTTGCGCCAGTAGCGGCCATTACAGGGGATATCGGGTGGTTACCAAGCAAACTCAGAAGGTGGATAAATATGCTACGCTATTGGAATAAATTAATGAATATGGACGAACAAAGACTACCTAAAACAGTTTTCACTGCTAACTATAATATGTGCCAAAATAATTGGTCTAACGATATAAAACAAATAATGATACTGTTGGGTCTCAGTACCTATTTTACAGAAAAGAGACCAGTTGATTTAAAACTAGCAAATGAAAAAATATTAAGTCTGTTTACCGAACAATGGTATACATCTGTACAAAATAGTCCAAAACTACGAACATATAAACTATTTAAAACAAATTTTAAAACCGCACAATCCATAGTGTTAAATTAAGAGAAACATGAACGTTCGATGCTGGCACAGTTACGGTGCGGGATTTTACCCTTAATAGTCGAAACAGGACGTTTTATTGGCGAAAATGTAAACCAAAGAATATGTACATTCTGTTACCAAGAACAAATAGAAAATGAAACTCATTTTCTCGTAGAATGCACAAAATATGATAATATAAGACAGTAAGTGTTCGAAGATTTATTTCAGATCCATCCTATATAAATAGAAATAAGGAGGATAGACTGACCTTTTTAGTAAATGAAAATGCTAGAAAAACAGCAAAATACATTGTGAAAGCTTTTATGTTTAGACGAAGCCTTATATACTCATAGAGAGTTGCAGAGAAACATATATATATATGTATCACTAATATTTAATTCCATCAATTACTCGTATATCTAATTGCTTAATTTACTTGATAAAGATGAAAATTAAGATATACTCTTCCATGTACATCTTCTATATATTTGAAATTGACCTTGTACTACTTTTATGGTTAGAATATTTGAGAATTATACATAGATACTGTATCAAATGCCAACAGTGACTAATAGGCCCATGAGGCCGGGTGTTTTAAATACCTTTAAAAAAAAATTTGTATATGATTATATTGTAAATAACACATGTCACTTTAATAAACAATTTACTTTTACTTTTTATGATGACAAGCGTTTCGTTCATAAAAGTAATAGACACATGCGCCTTTTTAGGGCATGGGAACGATTTAGGCAAAATTTATTTGTTAAATATTTATGAAATTTAGAAGAAATATTGGCAATCATTTTGCATTCGTTGCAATCTTCAGTGAAGCATTGTATGATAAACGTTTTATTCCTCTACAATATGCCTTAATAAAGGAATATAAGAGAAAAGTTGTTAAGTTACCGTTTGTCTTGAAAAAATATTTTTTAGATTAGAATTGTATCGGCTATAAACATTTTATTAACACTTCTATGCTTAATAAATGATAGTTTTACTATTTGAAAAAAAAACGAAAAAAAAAAATCATTTAATGAATATGAATGTAGAAATAATATTTGTTTTATTTCCTATGAAGAACAACTGGATCACACTCACTTGAATAGTAATTACATTTATGTTGTTTATCTTTCCACGACAACAGTATGACTGGGTCTATTGTTACTTTTTTCGAGTTAAATAAATTAAATAAACATTAAATGCTGATTTATTAGAGTGCAATCCACGTGACATAAGCAGGTGGTATTATATTTATTTTTACTGAATGTAATTCAGTCTGATATAATTAAAGCATTGTCTGTTCTTTGACCTTTAGATGAAAGGTAACGGTAAATTAATTTATCTTCTTTTATGGTTATAGATATGACAAAAATGGTTTTTGAATGATAAAGCACTTTTTAGCGATTAAAGAATTATTCACACATATAAATATAAAATAATGCGAACAGATTAAGAAAAAATCTTATAGCAATGTCATTATCCCTATCTTAAGTGTAGTGTTCTGCTAAATTTGAGTAAGTATATATCGGGTTACATCTACATAGACTTTTTACCTTTTCTTAAACTTATTCTTAAAAGTGTAAAGTTGATTTCATTCTTATTTTCATAGAAAAGCCAAAGCGACTCCTGTCCTCGAAACCTGTTCATTTTAAAGAAAATGAAAATTTAACTGACACCATTATAGAATCGTGTGTACGTACAATAAATTACAAATAAAACAATTTTCTTCTCCCACTCTTCGTTTGCAAATGTATTTTACAATGGTCCACAAATTGGAATTCCAATTTAAAGAGATGTTCAAAAACAAATACATTATTATAATGTCAAGACGATATTAATTAAGTCAATTTTATGCTTTTTGTAGACCATTTCTATTTATCTTATTTCATATGAAATTATTGAATAAGGTAATTAGTACTTTGGAGTGTAAAATTATATCATTTTGTCCACAAATAGAGTGAATGACACAAAAATACGCACCTAATTACGCAGTAAATGTTTGGCATTTTAATATAACCACTTGTAAAGCATTTATACTCTTTGTAGTTTAAAGTTTACGCAATTTAATGGCTAACTTGAACGCTTTATTGTACAAAATGATTTAAGAGCGTATTATTGATACTGATCTCACTAATGGACCTTCTTTTGTTTCCTTTTGAAGAGTGGGAAATATAACCGGAAGTTTCCCGTCAACACGCGCGACTAAAGACCAAATAATTATCTGCTCAAACGTGTTATTCAAAGAGTATAATTAAATAATCATTGCCCACGAATGAATACTAAATCAATCGAGTTTCTGACGTATTGACAAGTGTTCGCGAAACAAAACGTCTTTTTAAATATTCCATCCCATTTTCTGTCGGACTAATACTGTGAAAAGGGAATATCTTAATGAAATTAAAGTCAGTTTTTCTACAAAATGTATGTTTGAAATGATTTATGTTTTCGAAAAATAGCCAATACCAGGAACTTCCTATGCGACACAAAAATAAAGATTTACTTTATATTGTATTTTCTAATATCAGTAAATCGGTAAAACCTCTTTTAATAATTCATTTCTTTAACAATAGCTAAAATACACAGTGCGCAAATATGTTGAAAAAAAGACTAAAGCATATCCTTCGTACGTTATCGAATAAAGTAATACTTTCTAGTCATTGATCCAGAACAAGAAAGATTATACTAAAAATAATTGATATAAACTGATTGTTTCCCATTGTAGTATATTGCCGACAGGTTTCTATATTATTAGGGCAAATAAACAAAACAGTTTAAAATCAATTAAGTAATAATGAGCCGCGTCATGACAAAACCAACACTGGGTTTGCGACATCCGCGCAGTCTGATCAGGATCCATGCTGTTCGCTTACAAATCCTATAACAAGTAGAGAAACTAATAGCGAACAGTATGGATCCTGATCAGACTGCGCGGATGCGCAGGCTGGTCTGGATCCATGCTGGTCGCAAACCCATTAGGTTGGTTTTGTCGTGACGCGGCTCAATCATAAATCATATTAAAAGCCA